ATTGTGATGTATTCGCTCTGATTTTGGATAGATTCGACGCGCGTGGAGGTCGATTTAAGGAGCAAAGGCGTCGCGAGCTAGAGATTTCACCGGTTCGAGGTGAGTAATGATTGTAAATGATATCCTGAGGGTTTGAAACCCCGGATTGCACATCATAGTGCTATATTGAGGTGACTTGCACGCCGGATAGCGAGCGTGGGGTAGAGCACCGTTGGGGATTGTGGCTTGGTCCGTCCCGATTGATGATTTTACTGTGTAATTGACTGAAACTTATTTGTTATCATCATGACTTGGGCTGATTGCCATGTTTGGGCTTCGTGCCAGCTATTTGAACCCCTTCGGGGATGGTCGTTGATATTTCCTCACTGTTTGGTTTTATACTTGAACTCAGTCATGTATTTTGGGCTAAGCATCATGTTTATTGTTGCCCGAGTGGCTTATGTGATTTTGTTGACTGAGTTAGGCCGATGGCCTGTATTGTGAGGATACTTTTAGATCGGGCTGCACGCCGCAGCAATATATATATATATATATATATATATATATATATATATATATATATATATATATATATATATATATATATATATGGATCGGGCTGCACGCCGCAGCGCAGTAGTGTTATGCTGATAATGGTATGAGGACAAGGGCCTAGATCTGATGCCACGAGATGGCTTGATATTGCGCTTGGGCCGTAAGGGGCCCCTCCCGGAGTCTGCACACCCCCAGTGAGCGCCGTCGACGATAAATGGATCGAGCTGCACGCCGCAGCGATATGTGGATCGGGCTGCACGCCGCAGCGGTACTAGTACTGTTCTATGTGTTTACTTTATTTCATTTGTCTGCCATTATCTGTTGTCTGTGTTACTTCACGGGGTATCTACCTGATTGCCTGGCATTATCTGTTGAGTGAGTGTTGTGCCCGAGGGGCGGATTTCTGTGCTTATCTGCACTAATTGTTTTGCATTCATTCGCATAACCGTTGAAAAAGTCATTTTCAAAAGAGGTTTGAACTGAGATAAGATGTTTTCTAAAGATTTCACAGCTTCACTGCTTTTTCTCAAGGGGTTTTATACTGCTTCTATACAGCATGATGATTTGCATTACGTGATTTCTTACTCCTCAGTTATTATTTACCTTTATTACTCACTGAGTTGGAGTACTCACTTTACTCCCTGCACCTCGTGTGCAGATGCAGGTATTTGTTCACACGGTAGCGGGTTTGAGTTGATCGGAGGCTAAGTTTATCGGAGTTTAGCGAGGTGACTGCTAGCATTCGCAGCACCGCATTTTCTTCCTTATGTTTATCAGTCCTCTTTTGTATATTTTAGGCCTTGTAGTTGTATTTATACTCTGATAGATGCTTGTGACTTGTGACACCCCGGTTTGGGCTGTGTTGGGTTGTATTTCCGCAAATTAATATCATGAAATCATATTTAAACTGCTTATGAACTGTTTAACTGCTTAAAAGAGGTGTTCTGGAATGGTCTGGCTGGCCTTGTCTTCACGAGAGGCGCCATCACGACCGGGGCGAGTTTGGGTCGTGACAACTACAACATATGTTTTGACCATAATCATATAATATGAATGACATATTTATAAATAAGCTCTTCGAGAGCCTTCATTTAATATCCACAATCTAATATTTATCGGACACTACTGGTGTCATGTGTCTTCTAGGCAAACAGTTAGCTCTTCAGGAGTTGTTGATGCATTTTGTACTATCAAATATTGCTCAGACACTTCTGGTATCATAAGAGAAAATCACAATCAAATAAACAATTGTTTAAACACAAGAAAACTCCTCTTCATAATATTTTCCTACTTCAGGAGGCAATTTCAATTGTATTACTTCTTCAGGAGCAAATTTAAAATCCGAAATATTGAGTATATATTCTCTCAATTATATTACCTCTTCTGGAGGTGAATTGTAATATATTTACATCAAGAGCACGTTCATATTTACCAGATTTATTAATATTGTCACATTCACTTCATGGAATGGATTATTATTATCAAAAGTTTTCATCCTTCAGGATAATCGAACATAATTATCTGAATGCGCATTAATCACATCAAATTGTGATGCCTCAACCTCTTTTAAAATATTTACTACTTCAGGAGCAAATCGAGGCGTGCATTTAATATAGAGAATTTTTTATGTAGCTTATCTTCAATTGTAACCATAGAAAGCCTAAATTATCACTTTTGGTGATCATAGGCATATACCACTTCTGGTGGTTAACAAAATATAATTACAATGAGATATACGAAATTTAACCACTTCTGGTGGTTGTATATTTCTTGCAAACTCTGCTAGAGTTTAAGTTGATCTAATAATGTTATCCATATTCTTCAAAATGACATAAATAAGATATATTATAGTAAACATCATTATCAAATCATAATTTTTCTTTATGTACAACAATTACATAACCATACTATCTATTACAAACAACAAAAATTAAAATATTTACATTTCTACAGATTCACCACCGATCACTTGACTTGTTTCTCCATCTGGGAGTGCAAGGTAATCAGCTACATCTAAATGCATGAAGTCTAAATTATCTTCAGAAAATATATATAAAAAAATATTTTTTCCCCGGGATGTGGGCAGAAAAAACGAAAAAAGTAATAATTTGAAATTACAAAAAAAAGTAAAAAAACAATTTTGCTGGGTGGGGGGGGGGCAGTGGGGTGGGGGTGGGGGTAGCAGCTGAGTATTTGCACGCGTTGCATTTTTACCTGGGAGAAAAAATTTTGTGTCAAAGTGGAACAAAAAAAATAGAATTGGAGGGCCAAAATGGAACAAGGCTGAGTTAAAATGCCAAAAATAAAATTGGGACAAATTTAATGATCTGTATATGATTTTTTTTAATGGTTTCTTTTGTAGTTTAATTGTTCCGTGAGGAACAATCTTATTTTTGATTATGTTACTTTATATTTTCTAATTGTAAAAGGCAGAATAGCCTAACTGGCACCTATACTTATGTCACTTTGTCATCCCGGTCCCTCTATTCAATGAAGTTTCATCCAGACACTTGAACTCAGTCAAAACATGTATTTTAAACCCCTCTGACCGTTGACTGAGCTTATGTGTCATTCATTTTGCTGAGTCAGAAAAATAAGTGGTTACACGCTCTAAAAAGGAGAGTGGATATATTTATTTTGATTTAAAAATAATAAAAATAATAAAGAACAACCATAAAAAAGAAAAAGAGTAAATTAATTTCCCAACCCAAATATCTCTACCCCTTTCCCAACCCTTCCGCCTTATTTCACCCCGTTTCTCTCCGTCTTCTTCTCCCCCCTCTTTCCTATCATAACTCCGTTTCTCCCCGGCCTTATGAAAAGAAGAACCACCAACTAGAAAGCGTTTTGTGTAACTAAAGTCCAGTAATTAGCAGGTCTAAGCAATAGGTATATAATTGAAAACAAAGCAAGAAAACAGGACGCAAATAATCAATTGCTGAAGAAGAAGAAGAGTCCAATTATTACCTGCAAAATCATATGTCCAAGGATAGAGGTGCTAGATTGAACAAATTGTCAAATCGCAAGTGAAAATTGCTAAGGTGTTCTGAGATACTACATTCATAGATACACGACGTTAATTCTTAGGGCTTAGTAACGCTCGATTGTATCCATATAACACCTCTCCCAGCTTCTTGCTGCAAGGAAATTCTTCCGGAAAGGTTCTGCAGTATCTGAATTTTCATCTTCGTTCTAAGGAGAAGAGGTTAAATAAGGAGTGAAAAAGGAAAGTTGAAGGGTGGTGTTAATGGCGCTAGGCCGAAATGGGAATGGAGAAAACGATGATTGGCCAGCAATTGATTTTGCGGCTGCTTGGTTTATTGAGATCCCCAAAATGCGACTCACTTACCTTCAATCTCTTCAACGTTTTAGCCAATGCAGCAACAATGAACCTAGCTTTTCTTCTTAAGGATTTCTTCAAGCTCTGAACTTTTATCTTCAATCGCTTCTTCAGATGCACTTTTCTTAACTTTATATTCCAGAAAGAAGAGGGTTTTTTCTTGCTTTTCCCAATTACTTTTTCCCTTAGGTATATTAATAGCCGGTTTGGCCAAGCTTCTTTTTGGCCAAAAGTGCTTTTTTTTTTTGCCAAAAGCACTTTTGGCCAAAAATTGAGGTGTTTGGCCAAGCTTTTGGAAGGAAAAAAAGTGCTTTTGAGGAGAAGCAGAAGCAGTTTTGGAGAAGCAGAAAAAAGTAGCTTCTCTCCAAAAGCACTTTTTTGAGAAGCACTTTTGAGAAAAATACACTTAGAAACAGTTTTTTAAAGCTTGGCCAAACACTAATTGCTGCTCAGAAGTGCTTTTCAAACTAATTAGTCAATCACAAACTGCTTCTCACCAAAAGTACTTTTGAGAAAAGCACTTTTGAAAAAAAAGCACTTATCAAAATAAGCTGATTTTTGCAGCTTGGCCAAACGGGCTATAAGTCGATGATGTGGCATTGATTTATCTGATGTGGACATGATTTTTTCTCCACGTCAGGCGAGTGACCAACACGTAATGCTGAAGGGGTTTAAAATACATGTTTTGACTGAGTTCAGGTGTCTGGATGAAACTTCATTAAATAGAGGGACCGGGATGACAAAGTGACACAAGTATAAGTGCCATTTAGGCTATTCTGCCATTGTAAAATGGTATTCATACACATATCAATATTTTTTTGCTATTTTATTTTCCTAAATTTGGATGATACATGGTCTTGAAAGCATGTGCTTATTGTTCAAGATTAAACTTTGATTATGCATCAAAATCTTTTGCAAGGTACGCATAATTCTTCAATTATTTCTTTGTATTCTGAAAGAACATTTTGACTTGATTAGTCTTAAATATATCATATATACATGACTCGGCATACACGTCGAAAGACTAGTAACAATATATATATATATATATACTCATACAAATATCTCATACACTATTTTACAAGTACCGAGACCTCATGACCCAAATATGTACTTGTTTACTGTCCGTTGTATAACATGGAATTTTTTTCACAAGAAAACACACTGAACAAAACAATACAAAACCAGACCAATAACACCATTCCAAGCATAAACGGAGCTTCAACAAAAAAGCCTATAGGAAATTATGCAGAGGCTCTTGTCCCTCAAACTCCTCTCCAAAATCCCCAGAAATCTCTCAAATGCAACCACAAATCCCTCTCAAACTTTCCTTTCTCTAACTTCCAAGACAAACCCATGTCACCCTTATCAGCAACAACAATTTTTCTCTGCTTTTTCACACGCACACACACACTCAATTAGGCTACAAAATGTGAAATTTTCACATGGGGTTTTCTCAAACCCACTTTTCTCTAAGCAGCTGTTAACAAACAGAATTTTCAGAGGTGATCGGAGCAAGGATTTGGTTAACCGTACAGTTGGGATTCTGAGGACTCAATTTGGAAAAAGAAATTTTCACTCTAATTTCTCATTTGGTTCCTCTCGCCGCGGCTGGTACTCTATTATTCCCCCCTTTTAGCAGCTTTAATATATTTATCAAAATATTTGAGGTTGGCCATTTCATTGCAATACTAAATAAATTTTTACAGAAATCATATACATTACATTTTTTTAAAAGGCAAAATAGAGGTTTTCTAGTTTTTCTTTTTCCTTTTAATTTCACAATTATCTTTACACTGACATACAAGTTTTCCTGTTTTGACTAATCAAGTTTATTTGTTTGTTGTTGAGATTGTATAGTGAATAAAGTCTTAGTCTTTACTTTGAGAAAAGGAGTTGGTTTTGCGGACTGTGATAGATAAGTTGTACCCAAGTTTCGTTTTGCTGTACTTTCTGGGGCTTTAGCAGCAAAATAGAATGATAAGGTGTGATCTTTAGGGTCTTGGTCTCTTTGGAGATAGGAAATTGAACGTAGCTGTCGTTCCTTCAGTTTTTGTTCATCTTTTAATAGTTGGGGAAGAATTAGGAGTTGTTTAAAAAGGGAGTTATTAAAAATTTCGAACTTGCGTCCTTTGCATTTTGTATCTACTGTCTATATGAAGCAGTAATGATCCATATAGCCGATCCCAACTTGTTTGGGCCCTTGGCTTAGTTGTTATTGCTGTTGTTATTGTTGTAGCTCCAAGGGTCTATCGGCAGGGGCTGATCTACAGTATCGGGTATGGGTTCCCAGGAACCCAGTAGCTTTTGCCCGGATCCTGTATTTGTATTGAGAAACATATTAAAGGTATAAGTATTATTAGTTGGGAACCCAGTACCAGAAACGAATGTTGGTTCAGCAGCGAAGGGGACCCTGCTTAGACTATGTTTCTGTAAGTTGGTTGGCAAGGGTTCGAATCCATTTTTTGATAGTTTTTTTAACTTCATCTTTGGTTTTTTCACAGAATAACATCCCAGGCACTTCTGTTATTTCTCTTTTCTTCTTAAAAAACACTACAAATGAAGTTAAATTAAAAGAGGCCAGCCAAATAAAAAACTTGCTGAAACCTTTTGTCCCAATCAGTTATTATTGTATATTATTTGAGATCGTTGGGAAGTGGGAACCCATAAGGTTCGAATACTGGATCCGCCTCTGTCTATCGGAAACACCCTCTCTACCTTTCAGGGTAGGGTAAAGCCTGCTTACTCACTAATCCTCCCCAGACCCTACTCGTGGGATTTCACTGGGTTGTTGTTGTTGTAGCAATTGTTGTCTTTTGTAATTGCACCCTATATATTTTTCAGATTTACACCCTAATCTCTTCATTTTTTTTTTGTAAAGTTCTTTTGCACCATAATGTATACTCACACTATTTTTTCCTCTAATCAACCATTGAGATTACGTTTACATTTTTTAAATAAATTGGGTCCAATTTTTGCCTTAGTGATTGTGAGATCAATTTGCACCTCTCCAAGGGGCAAACTGTTCTTGCTAAAAATTTGGTTTCATCTTTATACTTTCATGTTTGTTAGGTACATTTTGTGAGTTAAGAATTCTATTTACCTCCACTCATCGTGCATTCACAAGGTTTGAGCTTTTCTTTTCCTTTTTTGGGTCTCACGTGTATAGTAGGTGGGAAATAATCGACAAATTCAATCTCATGTATGTGAATTTAGGTCTAGAGAAGCACCTAACCCTGTGGCCTAATAGTTAATAAAGTGGGTTCAAATATTAGAGATTAAGGTTCAAATCCAAATAGAGAAAAAACACTAGGTAATTTTTTCCATATGTCTAAGCCTTAGTGGAATAGTTACTCGTCGTCCAGGAGAGCGCAAGCTAACCCAAACACCATCATTTTCAAAAAGAAAAAAAGGTCTAAAGAAGTTTGAATTATATATTTTGATTTTGTCCCTCATAGATAGTCACATAAATCTCATAACAGGTGCAACGTAATTTCACTTTTAGATCATAAAATTATGACCTGGCATATCTTCACGTGAAATTTAACCTAATCTCATGTGCAGGCTTAAAACTTTAGGCTAGGAATCGTAAACGGGACATACATTAGGCCTGCAGTTCACTCAACTCATGATTTTACAAAAAACCCTAGAGATTATGGGATTGATCATAATAAATAAAAGAAATAGGTGTAAATAATGAAAGGGAGTATGCTTTAAAGCAGCAAGTGCAAAGATCTCTGGGATCTCTGGTTGATTTGAATTTTAAGAATAGCACTGCTGATGATAGAAGTAGAGCTTTAGATGTTTCTTGAGCTTCTGGTGCTGTTATGTACAGTAAGATAAATATTGCTCTGTGAAAAATTTAAGAAAAAAAGGAGCTACTGTACTTTCTTGTCCGTTTGGAAAAACTTGCCCACTTCCTCAAACTGACTTAAGATATGCCCTTCAACCGTTTTAACTAATACTCCTATAAACTAATTTTGCTGATAAAAAAGCTAATATAAAGTAATGTTACTTTATTTTATTTTTTATAAGGTAAATTGTATTAATCAAAAGGGAGAAAACTCCCGTATACAAGAAAGTTAATTTGACATAGTCTTCGGGAACTATCGTACTTTTTTCTTTGCACATACAAACCGATTATTTAAATAGTTATTTTCCTATATTAGTAATCTATTCGAACGTTTTACTCTTAGTCTCCACCAAGGTGGAGGTATGCCGTTTTTAATGGGATGAAGTGAGCTGCATTTAATTGAATCTGACCTGCAATAACTAATGAGTTGTGACAGCTAGGAGTTCGTAATCATTTAAACTGTTTCTAACATTTTTAGTTTTCTGATGGGAGAAATGGCGACAATCTGTGTAAATGTCATTCCATTGCTCTTAGTCAACTTCATACATTTTCTATTTTCTAAGTTATGACATATTTTTGATAAGGAATGTTATGACATCTTTAATGGAATGAATTGATTAGTATTTAGTTGACACTGATATGCAGTGACTAGTGAGTTGTGACAGCTAGAAGTTCGTCATGTTTAACCTGTTTCTTGTATTTCAAAATTATGGCAGGAGAAAAGGCAATGTTTGTGATGCCATTCCCTTGCCTTTAGTCCAACTTCATATGTTTTCTATTTTCTAAAAGTCATGGGCATTTCCAATTTGTAGGCAATCAGGTTTTGGGAGGTTTTCTACTGATGGAGTGGTGTTAGGAATAATCTTAGCTAATGTAGCTGTGTTTTTGTTATGGCGTGCTGCTGATAATAGGTTCATGATCAGGAACTTCATGGTAAGTCACTAAGATAACTTATCTTTTTGATGCAATTGACAGCTAAGACATTTTTTTCCAACTAGATTAACTTTTTTTTTTGTATCTGGTGCTCAGATTTCAGTGGACAATGTTACAAGTGGACGGGTTCACACATTGATAACATCTGCTTTCAGTCACATTGATCCTTGGCATCTTATCTCTAACATGGTTGGATTCTACTTCTTTGGAACAAGTGTAAGGTCACCTGTCTTTCTACTTCTATATCATGACTAAGCTTTATATCTTCGTAAGCAATTCAGTAACCTCATTGAAAATTCTTGATGTTGAAATCTAGCAACTAATGGAATTGTATCCTGTTTTTCATTCGGAAGGAAGGGTCTTAAAAATATTTCCTAGCAAGAAACATTGTCTCTGGCATTAATGGATATATGGCCAAGCTCAAACGTAGTGTTTCAGTGACCTGTCTGAGCACTTGCTGACTTTGGGCTAATGAATGGAAGAGTGGTAAACTCGATGCATACTGATCTGATAAAAAATTTCATTACTTTTTTTTTTCCTCTAAGCGATCTCAGTTTTAAAAGTGATGGTATTTAGGGGGGAAAAAGGAATTGACATTAGATAGAACCAAATAACTGAAATGGGTGGAATCGAGTGCTGAGAAGGTTAGTATCCTCCCTTGTGATATTTAAACTTTGAAATGGCTTATTTTAGATGGGGGTAAATGCATTAGCAAGCTTCTTGATATCTTCATCTTTACTTCTGATTATTTTATACCATTATTCTGCATACAGACTGCAGCCCTTATCTTGGAAAAATGAAAGAGCTACTTTTGTCAGAAATGACGCATTAGATGGTTACACCTTTAGGATCACAGTCAATTTTAAGTGAGAAGATAACTAGTGCAGTACTTGTGGAAATGATCCAGTTTTATCTGTCAACTCAGTTAAAGGGACATGGCTTACTGCTAAGCCATTTGGCCCGATGTCACAATTTGTCTTGGTTATTTATACCTTTTTAGTATAAGGGTAATTGATTAATCACTTAATTAATATTAAGCAATTACTTCATTGGCATATTGTAAATTAGGCATTTTCCAATTTCTTTTTATTGGCAGATCGGTAGTACTTTTGGGCCTCAGTTTCTTCTGAAGCTGTATCTATCTGGAGCAGTTGTTGGCTCTGTTTTTTACGTGGTATATCATGCCTTTATAGCTCCATCACTACAGGTAATCTTGGCGCAGCAACCTTATTATATCTATTTGTTCCCTTAGCCAAGAAGTTGATGAAATTTTTTGTAGTTACACCTGTGTATGTTACCTGCATACTAAATCATGATTAAATCCTCAGTCCAATTTATAGCAAAATTCATGGTTAATATTTTAAAGAAGTCGATGGTTTAGACTTTATCTCTGAAACATGAAAAGCACAACAAAGTGAAGCCGGAAATCTCAATCATTTAACCTATTAATGGTTCAGAAGAATCCAGGAACGGGGGGGAGGGGGGGGGGGGGGCAGTTAGAACGCTACATGAAAAGTGATTAAATATGGTAGTGGAAAATTTAGGATATACTGTACTGGTGTTAGTTGTGGTACTTGTGTAGGGGATTATAGTGTAATTGCTTCTGTTTTTCAGTTGGCTTGCGTATGTTTTTGGATTTACTTCACCTTCTCAGTTATGCACGAGGTTTTTTTTCCTATTAATGATTAGACATTCGAGAAAGAAGGATGAGGAAAAGTTAAAGTGGACTGTGCTGCAGGATTTGAGTTGGTCACTTTATTTCGTAATTAATCCCTCTGTTCCAACTTTTGTGTCACTTTTCATGATGAGAGTGCTAAAATGTTTAACAGACATCTATGATAGTATTATTTTTTATAAATTGACAGATCAAATTTATGTTTTAATGTCATGGTCTCCTAGCAAACTTACTCCACAGCTAATATTCTAATATTTTCTTAAGAACAGTTGTGTAGCTCAACTGGTCAAGCGCTTCAGCTTCTTTAAAATTGTCACAAGTTAGAACCTCTGTAGCTTCATTTTCTCCTTATCGAAAAAATAAATAAATTATTCCACTAGTACCTATAAAATATGCCGGTCAAATTTACATAATAAAAGTTCTTTGTCGAGATAATTGTGTGACATGAATTGATGGAGAGAATATAACGTCACTACCTCTTTGGTTGTAAAAGTTGTTCATGGCCGTTACCTTTCTTTGGTAGGGACAAAGAAGACAAATGCAGAGCATGCATCCATCGCAAGTTCCGGGCTTGGTAAATTCATGTCTTACGTCTTCTTGATCTCTGCTAGCTCTTCCTTTTCCTTCACCAGTTTCAATTTTTTGTGTTGCCATGTTAACAATTTATGGGACTCCAAAGGATCTGAAATAGGATTGTCATTTTTCTCTCATCTTTAATGAAGATTATCAAGTTTTCTTTAACATAGTACTTTGTCTTCTTCAAATTCAGTAGTTAAGCATCTTTTTTTGCATGACTTTGTAGTGTTTGCTGTGGTAATTGGACTAATAGATATGCTCTGGAGAAAAGAATTGGAGTAATGTCATAGTATAAGCCACTCCAATTCTATACATTTTGGTCTCGATCTTTGTAATTAGTGAACATTACTTTTGGAAGGTTATCACTTATCAAACCATGGTTTACTAAATTGCCATAAGTTTTCATTTTCGTTAGCCACTATATGTGATTGTTATAACTCCTTGTAACTCCCAGCGAAACCCAAAATGATGTTATGTTTCTTCGGTCTTGTCCTATGGATTTCTATTTGCATGTGGGATCTTGGAAATATTCCAGCTTCTAAACAACATGGTTCTTGGTTTGGTTTCTCATCCTTTGCATGGAGAAGATGTCTGTTAATTACTCTTTGATTTCTGAATTCCTTGAAATTCCTAATTGAATGGTTAATGGATGAAATTGAACCTTTTACTTCTTTATGGGAAGTTACAACAAAAAGGTATTATTTTGGAATATTGGAAAATTCTGCACGTCTTTTATGTACCCCCCCCCCCCCCCCGATAGTCAAAGCGTCATGCAATCTTTACACTTTGCCTTGACTTCTGTTCATGCTTTTCTATTTAGGGTGCAAGTGGGGCTGTAAATGCAGTGATGCTGCTTGATATATTCCTGTTCCCTAAAAAGACTCTCTATCTTGATTTTATTATTCCAGTTCCAGCAATCTTACTGGTATGTAATTGTGTATTTGTTTTCTAGATGGTAGTTTCCAAAGCTAAATTTGGCTAATATTTTGTACACGCCTATGATCCTAATCTTCAGGGAATCTTCCTCATTGGAAAAGATGTCTTAAGAATATTGGAGGTATGATCGTCTAGCTCTATTTCGTCTTTTGTTGTTTTATGAAGGGGAGCTTTGGCGTAATTGGTAGAGTTGTTGTCACGTGACCAGAAGCTCACGAGTTTGAGCCGTGGAAACCGCCTCTTGCAGAAATGCTGAGTAAGGCTGCGTATAATAGACCCTTGTGGTCTGGCCCTTCGTCGGACCCCGCGCATAGCGGGAGCTTAGTGCACCGGGGTACCCTAGTTGTTCAACTTTATCATGAAATTAAGTTATCAATGACTACTATGCACTGAAGTCATACTTTCCTTCGACTCAGTTGCTAATGAAAATAAAAACCAAAATGTTAGTAAAGTTTACTTGTTCTGTTCTAGTGTTCTATCATGAAAATGCCTTCTATATTTAAGTTTACTAGATTCTCCACTGCTTGATTTGCATGATCAGACTATTTAGCAGAGTAATGCATGCAGTTACATGGTCTGCTGTAAAAGGTCGTACGACCTCTCCAATTCCACCCTTATGCTGATTCTCTGTGTTGGTTGAGGGAATGAAACAAAATCAGATAGCCCAGTGCTCACGTGCCAGATTGAAATATTTGCCTTTGAGCCAGTTCTAACATGGGAGCCTTAATCCTATCTCAACTTACTCTATAGTTTTTCCACAAAAGAGTAAACATTAGTCTTGCTATGACTTGTTTTATATGAATCATGATGCATTTTCTTATCTCTTGTCTTCATCAGGGTGACACTCGAGTCTCAGGATCTGCTCATTTGGGCGGGGCTGTCGCGGCTGCCATAGCATGGACTCGAGTAAGAAGGGGAAGATTCTGAAGTCTCATTGCTTTGTCCTTATAAATGTAATTTCGGCAGATATAACTGAACAATGCAGTTAGGATATATAGTACCAAATTGCATTTAGGATGTATTCCTTCCCACCCTTGAGTTATTGCCTTCTTCTAGGGTGAAGTGCCAAGAGATGTCCCTTTAAATAGCAGCAATTGTCACATTCTAAATTCATGGATATTGTCAATGCAATTTGCAGCCTGAAAGCATGGTGCTGCTGACCAATTAGGTACTGGTTTGCTTCTTCTTCACAGTGGTAACAATAACATTTGAGAATTACAACTTAAAAGTGAGAATACATATTACTTAACCACGGTTTAGTGATAACTCTTAAAAGTCACCCTCGGCAGTGGCTTCACCCTCGGCAGTGGCGAAGCCAGGAATTCTCCCAAGGGTGTTCACACTCGAAAGAAGTGTCACAACCCAAAATTTGACCATGATCGTGATGGCGCCTATCGTGTTACAAGGCAAGCCTATTTCCCAAAATGTTACTACTAAATCGATTATAAGAATTTAATAAAATATTTTCAACATTTAAATTTCTCATAAATTAAATCAACTCTAAATATAATTAATATAAAGTACGGAAACGAGCCCTAAACATCGGGGTGTCACTAAGTCATGAGCGTCTAAAACTATGAATTATGAAATATAACTGTCAATACAATCCAAAGAAGAAATAACAAAAGGAGTAACAAGGTCCTGCGGATACTAGCAGCTACCTTGCAATCTCCACAGATAGCCAGCCTGAACTCAACGATCGCCGCGCTCTAACTCACCTGGATCTGCACATAAAGTGCAGGGTGTAGTATGAGTACAACCGACTCAGTAGCAACAGAAATAACTAAGGAACTGAGCAGTAGTGACGAGCTAAGTAAAACAGTCCAATTATTTATTTTCACAATTTAAAAATAAACAGAAACAAACAGGTAAATTCCATAACTCAGTAAATGCCACAAAGAAATTTAACAGATAAATGCAGCAACAGCTAAAGTAAATACAACCTCACAACAATGTCACTCAGCACTCGCACTCAGCACTCAACACTCAAAACACTCAACACTCTGCGCTCACTGGGGGTGTGTACAGACTCCGGAGGGGCTCCCAAAGCCCAAGCGTTATGCACGGACAACTCACGTGCTGCACGGACAGCTCACATGCCATAATATCAATACCTGGATCCGCACGGTCAACTCACGTGCTGCGCGGACAACTCACGCGCTATGGTATCAATACCTAGATCCGCACGGTCAACTCACGTGCTACGCGGACAACTCACGCTCTATGGTATTAATATCTTACAACAGGCCCTCGGCCTCACTCAGTCATGAACCTCTCTAGCCTCACCATCGTCAACAAATAAGGGAACACAGCCCACATCAAATATCACATCATATCATCAAAATAATAGAGACTGAGGTAAACATGTACAATAATTTCTATGACTGAGTGCAAATAATGTGAGCATGAATAAAGCCTAAACATGATCTCTAACATGAAGGCAAACAAGTTCAACAACAAGTAAACACATAACCACAAATAATAGCCATTAGGTCCTACAGCCTCACGGGACGGACCAAGTCTCTATCCCTCGCGGTGCACACCCACACGCCCGTCACCTAGCGTGGGTATCACCTCCAAACAATCACATGATATCAAATTCTCCGGGTTTATACCCTCAAAGCCAGAGTTAAAGCTGTTACTTACCTCAACAGCGTAAAATCCTACTCCGGGATGTCCTCGTCCCTCGACTCGGTCTCCAAGAGCTCTGAATCTATC